TACCAGATGGCCAGATTTTTTTAGCATTTCTTTGCTTTTTCAAACATAAGGGGGGGAAAAAAGACAAACGATAATCAAATCCCATAGAGTGTGTTGTGTGTTGCTGTCATTAAGCAGCCTGTACATTGTATAAAATGTATAAATAAATATCTTGTGTATGTCTCAAAGGAAGGTGAATTTCTTCAGATTGGTGCTATTTCCTAAATTTTCTGTTCTACTTAGAACTCCATTGGCAAATATTTTTCCTTTGATTCGGTTCTTTCAGGACCTCAGGATATTAACTTCTCAAGAGGCCCTTTTGCTCTGTTTCTTTCATCCTTAACAAGGATCTTTTTAAACAGAGTTTTCTATTTAACCCCTCATAAAATAGATGTTTCTCGTCTTCCTTTTGAAAAGAAGAGCTTTAAATTAGTGTTGGAATACTTAGCAATCCCTTCTCTTTCTCTTATTCCTCCTTTACAAAGGATCCCCTTTGCTCAGGAGGATATTTTACCTCAGGAGAATCCTCAGAGGTTTCTCACTGAGAATCATTTCTCTACCATTCTGCGTATTCTGAGGTAAATGTTTTTGAAACTTAAATATTTGGGAACTTGTTTTCCTGCAATATTATTTTTCTTTCTTCAGGACACCTATTTTGCTCCCCCTCAGTTTCAGACCGGGTCTCATAGCCACCATTGTTTATAACCTCAGATCCTCGCAGATAAAACTGCTTATTAATATCTTTAACTGAGGAACTGAAAAATCCTCTCTTTGAAAACGACCTCAGGGCAAAAGCCATTGAAAAGTACTATTACTTTACCAAAAGAAAACAGTATCTCTTCTGTATTTTAGATGTCCCTCAAGTGGAGGGATTAAACATTCCTCAACTCTGGCCCTTCAGAGGTTTCCTTTTGTGAAGGCTCAAAAAGTCACAATGGTGGCTGAAGTGAGGAGTTTCTCTCTGGGTCTCAGCAGAGTGACCAACTCCAACCTGTTATTAACCAAGGTTTTCTGTGCTCTGTTTTACTTCAAAAATGTTACACTGCATTATCTATAAACAGAAATCTGTTATACATAGTCTTCAGAGAGCAGGGAATTTAATAAAGGTATCCGGGCGAGGATTCATAGATGGGCTTTGTGAAAGCCTTTCTTGATGTAGGAAGAAAGTGTTTTAGCAATAATAACTCCATTTTGAATAAATGTGTGTATGGAAGAAATTCAGGGAACCTCAGGAGCTTTTCAACAGCCCGGAACTGGCCTTAAATGAGTTTTGAGGAAGTATATTTATACTGTACACATGTGTGAAGGACTTTCCAAAATGTACAGCAATGAGCACATTCCATGACATAACATTGCCAACTATGCACGCTCAAATATATGTTAATCTGCAAATGAATAATTTATCTAGAGACTGTATAAATCGAATGATACAGTGAGAACAAATAAAAGGAACTTATCTTTTGATGATGCAAGGTTGCCAACTAGACTCAGAATGATGGCTTTGCAGCAGACAATGTTGGATACTTTGAAGCAATTGAAGGAATCACTTGGTAAATTAAATATGAAATGGAGTGCAGAACTTCCATTAATTAAAAAAAAATTAACTGAGTGTAAAAACCTTGTGTTTATGCTCACTAAATTGGTCCAACAAATGGTGAAAGTGGAGAAATGTGATACAGTTAAAGTGTCAGAGCAAAGAAATAACCTCTTACAATCCCCAAAGCTAACAAATAAACCACTGAGATCCAGGAAAGAAAATCTAAACTCAAATAATACTGATTCAAAGAAACAAGGACAGCTGAAGAAATAAAAGTAAAAATATAAAGAACTATAAAGCAAGTAAACTGGCTGGGAAGTTTGTTTGTTTGTTTGTTTATTTAAATTTCAAATTTAGATACCACCCATCTCACAAAAAGTGACTCTGGGTGGTTCACAATAAAACAGCAATAAATATTAAAATACAATAAAACAATATAAAATACAATAAAAATGAATTTTTATTAAAGAGTTCAAATTTAATAGACTGTTTAATATTATGCATACACC